TACTTTCTCAGCCTTTTGGCTAAGATCAAATGTAGTACTACTTTCTCGACCTTTTGACTAACTTTTTTCGGCCTTTTGGCTAAGATCAAGTGAAGTACTAATTTTTTTTGAGTCGGTTTTTTGGCTAACCTTTCTCGGCCTTTTGGTTGAGATCAAGTGTAGTACTACTTTCTTGGCCTTATTATTACCTAATAAAATTCAAATAAAATATAAGAATTATTACCTAATAAAGTTCGAATAAAATATTTAATAAACCTCTAATAAGAAATACATTTCAAATTATATATTTCAAATTATAGAATCTCTAAAAATTATTACTTAATAAAATTCAAATAAAATATTTATTAAAACAGTAACATAAAAGTCTAAAAATTATTCTAACACAAATTATCTATTTATCTATTTATTATGAGTTTTTTTTAATAAGATTAAATCTAATTTGACAAGGGTTATTAATATAAAAATTATTTATTAATTGATATAAAAAGAGGTTAATTTTAAAAGAGTTCCAATAAAACTCTAACATAAATTACCTATTTATCTATTTATTATGAGTTTTTTTAATAAAAGAAAATCTAATTAGACAAGAATTATTAATATAAAAAAATATTTATTAATGGATATAAAAGGAGATTTTAAAAGAGTTTATATTAAACTCTAATACAAAATATATTTTAACTCTAACACAAATTATAGAAACTCTAGAAATTATTACCTAATAAAATTCAAATAAAATATTTATTAAAACTCTAACATGAAATATATTTCAAATTATAGAAACTCTAAAAATTATTACCTAAAAAAATTCAAATAAAATATAAAATTTTGTTACCTAAATAAATTCAAATAAAATATTTATTAAAACCCTAACACGAAATATATTTCAAATTACCTAATAAAATTCATAAATATGAATTTAAACAGCATAAAAATTAATTAAAAGAGTTTAATTCAAATTACAAATTACCTAATAAAATTCATTTTTCTTGTCCAACATCGGTTTTGAGTTATAAATAATTAAATAGAAGCCTCTTATAAAATTATAGACCTAAAGAAATAATAATAACAACTATCTCGGCCTTTTGGCTAAGATCAAGCGTAGTCTTACTTTTTCGGCCTTTTGGCTAACCTTTTAAATAATTTAAAGAGTCTAATTCAAATTACAAATTACCTAATAAAATTCATAAAAATTAATTTAAATAGTTTAATTCAAATTAAAAATTACCTAATCAAATTCATTTCTCTTGTCCCAATATTTCAGTATTTATTTATTAATATATAAAAGAGTTTTTATAAACAAAAAATTACCTAAAAATTATTTAAAGAGTTTAATTCAAATTACAAATTACCTAATAAAATTCATTTTTCTTGAGTTTCTAAAACTCTAACACAAATTACCTATTTATCTACTTATTATGAGTTTTTTAATAAAAGAAAATCTAATTAGACAAGTATTATTAATATAAAATTTATTTATTAATTGAAATAAAAAAGATGTTTTAAACAAGTTTCAATAAAACTCGAACACAAATTTCCTATTTATCTATTTATTTTGAGTTTTTTAATAAAAGAAAATCTAATTAGAGAAAAATTATTAATATAAAAAATATTTATTAATTGATACAAAAAGAGTTTTTAAAAGTGTTTCTATTAAACTCTAACACAAATTACCTATTTATTTATTTATTTATTATGACTTTTTTAATAAAAGAAAATCTAATTAGACAAAAATTATTAATATAAAAATATTTTTTAATTGATATACAAAATATAGTAATTTTTCTAAAACTCTACTACAAATTATCTTTTATTATGAGTTTTTTTATATTTTATTTTAATAAAAGGTAATCAAATTAGACAAGAATTATTAATATATAAAGATATTTATTAATTTATATAAAAAGTGTTTTTAAAAGTTATTATATAAAACTGTAACATATATTACCTATTTATCTATTTGTTATGAGTTTTTTTTAATTAAAGAAGATATAATTAAACAAGAATATATTTAAAAAAAATAAAAAAATTTACATAAAATCTACCACTAATTAGCTGTTTTATTTTCTATAAAAATCTGTCTCATTATCTATTTATTATGAGTTTTTTAATAAAATAAAATCTAATTGGAAAAGAATTATTAATATATAAAATATTTATTAATTGAATTTAGAAATTTACAAAACTCAAACTCTACCACCAATTTCAAAATTCAGTATTTCCATATTAATATAAAATCTAAAAGAATTTATTACTTTATACATAAAATAAAGGGAAAATTACATATAAATGGAGTCAAAGTTCCATATTTACTTAGAGGCTGAGTCAAAGTTCCATATTTCTCTAAAATAGATTGCTGAGGTGGCACATGGTTTTTTACTGTTTAGAAATTGTGGTGCCTAAAATACCCTTCCGCGAATGTACTACTTTTTCTTCGAAGGTACTACTTTTTTGAACTGAAGGTACTACTTTTTGACGTCCAGGTACCATGTTTTTTAAACACCCGCGAATGTACTACTTTTTCTCCGAATGTACTATTTTTTTGAATTAAAGGTACTACTTTTTTGAACTGAAGGTACTACTTTTTTGTTAGGGAATGGCATTTTAGGCACCACAATTTTTTAAACCGTAAAAAACCATGTGCCACCTCAGCAATCCATTTTAGAGAAATATGGAACTTTGACTCCGTCTCTAAGTAAATATGGAACTTTGACTCCATTTATATGTAATTTTTCCTAAAATAAATACAAACATATCACACAAACAAACAAATATGTATCGTTATATATGCAAAGATCTATAAATAAAACATATATTTGTGAGTGTATATATCTGTATCTATATCTTCATACTATTATTAAAAGTGTAAAGAATTTATTGATATAAAATGAATTACAAATTATTATTTAAATAACTAAAAAATAAATAAAGTAAATAATTATTTAATAAAATAATTTATCAAATAATAAAATAAGTTACAAAACATTCCGGCCTTTTACCAGTAAAGGCAAATGCAAGTAACCAACCGTTAATACAATGGCAAAGTGCAAGAAACCTAATTATATACAAAGATGTGTAAAAATAATCCACCCGTGGATTTGGCCGATTACTTAGGCAGAATCCTAGGTGGCAGTCCAGGTGGCAAAAAAATTTGCTTGCGATCAATTCATCTTCCCTTCTCTCCACTCTCTATCTAAAACCTCTCAGGTCAGACAACGGCGCATGGGTCTTATTTTCCCCCTTTCTCTATCTCCAGCTTCATCGGCGTATGCAGGTGCAAGCAACGGGTGGCTGTCTTTGGATGATGTTGGTGCGAACAATGGTGGCCATAATGCCAGATTTGAGCTCATCAGGGGTGTCAAAGATCAATCGATGGTGGTGTCGGCAGCAGAACTCCGATCAATTGATGGTGGTGTCGGCGCCAGAGGTTTGTTCGGTGACGGAATCCTATCCTTTGAGTGAAAATCGGATCTTTCTATCTCTTTCGATTTGCATCCAATAGATCTCTCTTCCAAAGTATTAATTTCGCGGTGGCTGGAGTCGGGAAGGACTGATTGGCGATAATCACTGAAGAGTTTAGGTGTTGTTGACGGTGTGTTAAATAACGGAGAAACGCTGAATTCACTTTCACTGTTTCATTGAAAACTAGCCACGGATATGGAATTTTAAGTTCTTGTGCATCTACTGAATTCTGGGAGGAAAAAGAAAAGAAAAAGAAAATAAAATAGATCTCAATTTCATGCTTGTGTCTAAAAGAAAGAAATTTATACAAAAAATTATTCATGGAAAACTGCAACCGATTCTCGACTCCAAGTAGTCCTTCCTCGTGGTAGGTTGTTACAGCTGGGGTCAAGCTTGTCGCCGTGTGCTTTGGTTACCCGCCGGTGTACCATAGTTGCCGTTGTACTTGTAACGCCGGAGTGATGATGTAAGCGTATAGGATTAATTTTTTTTGCCAGCTGGACGCACATGGATTCTGTTTAGTTAATCTTTCCGCCTGTGTACGAGGACACTACAAAAGAAGGAGAATTTTTTTTTGTTTTTGTTTTGAGGTGCGTTGATTGCAGTCACGCAAACAATTGTTCATTGACTGTTACAATTAGGATAGGTCTTAATTTTAAATGTATTAATTATTTTAATTTTTAATTTTTATAGGACTCGACTAATATTACTTTTTAGACGAAAAAAAAAAAGTTCTTTTAAATTATCTAATTTCCTTTTTTGTTTTTTCTTTTATATATATATATATATATATATGTGCTTCTTTTTGTTTTTATTTTTATAACTATCCTTCTATAACTGAATTTTAAGGAAAACAAAAAAAATAAAAAAAAGAAAATAATTTATTCACCAAAAAAGAAATATATACGTATATAAAACTAATTTTGTGTATATCTTTTTTAAATCTCAAAATCTATCTTATTCTTTTTTTCTTCTTTTTCGATTTTTTTTTATCCCTTTTTTTTTTTACTCAGAATTCATTTCTTGTGAATGAATTATCTTATCTAATTTTTTTTTTTCGCCTTTTTTTAGCATCCATTCACATCACATTAATTATTATTATACATACATACATACATACATACAATCCTAACTCCGACTATGAATGAATAGTCGCTTGCGCGACTGCAATAAACATTTCTCTTTTTTCAATTTGAAGGTTTAAATATTTAAAAAGCCCTTGTAATAAATATTTAAAATAAAATAAATATTGGGGGTTTTATTAAGGGTATTTTGGAGTTTATATATATATATATATATATATATAAACAATTTATTCTGAATTTTAAATATTAGGAATTTAGATGCACACATAACCTTATTTTTTAGTTATTAGGAATTTAGAAGAGAGCTTCCATATATATATATATATATGCAAATTTTAGACGATATATTTGGGATTCAAATCATATGAAATATAATCCCAATTTTAAATTAATAAGGCTGAGTTGGAAATAATGGATTCTGTGTTTTGGAATTAAATTTCAAAAATTTAGTTCAAATTACATACTCCTATTTTAGGAATTCAAATTCCACTGAATCTAAATTTATTATGCTGAGTTGGAAATAATGGATTCTGTGTTTTGAAATTTAAATTTTAAAAATTTAGTTGAAATTACATACTCCTGTTTTAGAAATTCAAATTCCCCCAAATCTAGGCATTCCGAACACAGTCTTAATATTTCACCAAAAAAAAAAAAAACGCGCATAGCGCCTATTTTTAAAATTTCATTATTTTAAGAGTGGTCTGACATTCGAAACTCCAAACAAAGCCAAAGAAATCACAATATTCACGAGTAGATTCTGGCTTAAATGCTGATGAAAATTGAACGCAGAAGATCTGCTCGAATTGCTTAGCGTGCCATCATCTGCAAGGGTCAGACTGGCTCTGGCTTAAATACTGATGGCGACGCAGATTCTCCTAAGCTAAAAGAGGTAACTTTCTCTTTCCCTCTTCCTACACATACATATTATAATCATGACATATTTTATTTGATTTTGATTATATAGTGAATCTTTTTGCTGAATATTTTGTTGATTATTCTAGATAGTTTATGTTATGAAGCACTAGGCTTTTTTTTTGTTAAATTGATGCGTCTATGTATGGATAAATTGTAAAATTTCTGGTTGATGCATACAAGCTGCTCGGATAAATGCCCAACTGAAGTGATGGGGATTCTTGGGATGTAGTTACATAGGTGATTGCCGTTTTTAAAGTTGTTGTCTTGGGGGGTTAGGTTCCTGAAATTGATTAACCAAATCCTTTAGGTTACATTTTATGGTACTTTTTGGTGCTGTGCATAAGCAAACTTGTTCGAAGCATATCTAATGCAAGTTGGCAACTTAATTTTTTTTTTATGTATTAGTTGTTATTCATATTAATTCTTCTTTAATTATTTGAGGAGTTAAAACATGGGTATGGTGATTTTCGGGTCAATACTACTTAAAAACATTAGTTTTCGGTGAAAGCCTTTGGTGACACCTTTTAACCATGTACTACTCAACTCTGATTGTGTGCATACTCCTATCATTTTGGTTTTTGATGAAAGTGATGATGTTTAAATGTTTGAAAGGTATTTTATTTTTAATTCATGTTATCATTTGTTTTCCTATATATGTTCTCCATTAAAGAAGTTGCAAATAGCTGAAGCAATTATACTACTGGGAATTGTAAGGTTGTTATCTTCTTTTCATGGAGCAATCATATTTAACATTCTTCTTTCATAATAGAATATGCACATAATAGAACGATAAGGTTGTGGGCTTTGGCTTTTATTGGGCCACCCAACAATAACTACCTGCTCCATTTATAAAAATCGACATCTATTTTCCTCTTATTAATAGCCTGATTGGACAATGTTTGAAATTTGAAAAATTGTAGTGTATTTCATATTTAAACTTTTTTTATAATTAATTAAATTTTTATTTAATTCTAAATTTATGTCACATCAAATATTAATTCAGTACTTTCAAATATAGTATTAATTTATTTATTTTCTTAGCAAATAACAAATCAAATGATAAATAAGGATCAAGATAAACTCCTAAATCAACTAAAATGTGATAACTTAGAAGGGTAAATCAATTGGGATGTAGGCAACAAAGAAAAATCAAAAATTAAAAATCAATTGGGATGTGATCCAAAATAGTCAATTGACAACCAGCCTTCTAGAGAGCTTTGTCACAGTCTGAGCCTATTTGAAAAACTGTAATTCTGAATTCTATTATGAAAGATAGCTTCATAGTGTTATAAATTAGATATTTAGCATCTGCAATCCTTTGAGTTCCCATAAAAGTCAAAAGATTCTAAAATGTAACCTAAAACTCAGAATTCATGGATTCCAACTGTACTTCATGTGCTCTTACATCTTATTTTTGCGGATTATTTGTGTCATATTGTTCATTAAAAAATTAGTTGGATAGTAAACAAGTTTTGGAGAATGTGAGTGTCATTTTCTTAAAAAAAAATAAAAACAAAAAGGAATGCGCAATATTATTCTTTCAGATCATCACAGTTCACTATTTCACATGTTTTATTTTTTTCTTGCTTAGATATTATAATACAATTCTTTCTCAAAAGCATTTCAACATCCGACAACTCAAGTACTCTTTACACCTCACATGTCAAGCACTCTTACATCCTCCAACTCAAATCACCTTACAGCGTAAATACTCTTATCACACTTTTGAGGATAATCGTGCTATTAAAATTTGAGTGGATTTTAAAAAATATTTTAAGGGGGTACATATCGTTTCTTGAGAAAAATGCTAACCATTCCAACTTGTAATCCAGGTATGTTACCAAGCTAGTTTTAAAAAACTTACTATGCAGTTTCTTTTGTTAGTGGACTCTACTTGTGATCCCTCCTTACCAATTAGTGAAATTTTAAGTGTAGTCTGCTTACAGTTTTGATATGTATACCACAACTCTTCCTTAAAGAAATTGGAAGAAATAATATGAGAAATGCGATGGTATCAATTGGAAGGCTTTTGACTCAACAAGTGAAAAGTATATACATGTGTGTGTATAGAGTGATTGGGGGCGAGAAAGGGAAAATCATGTAAAATAGAGAAAAAGAACTTGAATAAATACACAGTTAGTTCTCATGTCAATAGGCGATTTGTTAGTTTTTCAAAAGAAAAGGGGGCTTTGTGGAAGATAGTGATTTAGTTACTTTGCTCATCATCATTTTCAAGGTTACTCTTGAGAGTTTAAGCGCACTAAGGCTTCAAATTTAAAAATCAATTTTGTAATATGCTATTTATGATATGAGATTAATCCATAAGGTGCATATCTGTTTGGAGGATGGAGTGGTAATTCACTGTGTGCAATATGAATGTATCCTTGTGGAATTACTTTGGTAATATTACTACAATTGAGTTTTAACTGTTTCAGCCACTTAGGTTTTCTGTTAGTTGACAATGCCTTCACCTCCAAACAGTATTACATGTCAAGTGTGAGTTGCGCGGTGCAGAAGTGGTTTGTTAATTTAGTGAAATTAGATGTTCCTAAGACTTAGAGGAGGGTGAATAGGTTTTCTTGCTCAATTTTTATGATTGATTAATAACCCACGCCGATTAATAGTTATATCCAAACCAATCACAAAATAAACAATAAAGTAAAGCAAGTAAAGGAAAGAACACACTATATTTTTGTAATGTGGAAAAACCTCATCAAGGAAAAAACCATGGAGACTAGCCATCTCTGGCAAATCATTCCACTGTGTTAGAGAAAGAGTACAACTAGTTTCGTTTCCTTCGAAACTGTTCCCCACTCGTAATGCATTGGAAATAATCCGAAACACCATTCCATGCCAACGTAATCGCCTCACGATGATCTTGCCCTCCTATCACTCACTAATGCAAATATGTAAGGGAAAATCTGCTGCTCTGATTGAATTGATATAGACTTTGAAAATCCCTTTGATCAGATGAAGAGTATCACCTAAAATTCTCACATGTATGTGTGTGCTCTCAAATATAAAAATGTTTTTCCCTCAACTCATCAACTGTTTCTCCAACAATGGTGTGTAAAATATTTTATGTGTTTTTCCCCAAAGTCTCTACATGTGCTGGACAAAAGTTGAAATACTTAAGGTAGTACAAATAAAAGTGGAAAAAGTGATGTTAAAATCCAATTTGATGTCCTAGAATTTTGGTGAAAATAGTAATCAAAATTTTATAAAAAAAACATAGAATCCCGCATATATCTGGTTAAGTCCAACTGGTTAGTAAATTTATTTATTTTTGATAAGTCAACTGGTTGGTAATTTTCCAACCCGTTGGACTGTGCAGGTAGGCAAAAGTGCCCAATTCCCAAGAGCACTCCAATCCGTTTGTAATTTATTAACCCGTAGGACTCTACAGGTAGGTAAAAGTGTACAATTCTGGAGAGCACTTCAATCCATTGGTAATTTGCCAACCTGTTTGACTTTTATGGATTATTGCGAATTCTGAGAAACTCCAATGCATTGGTAATTTACCAACCCGTTGGACTTACAGAAAAAATGAAAAATAATATTTAAAAACAATTTTTTTCGAAGTCCCAATCCAACCAAACTTTTTGTGCATTGTGTCCTCACTCACATACTGACATACATACCTAATCTAAATGATGTATTCCTCTAATTCCATGGTATTGAGATGCTTGCTATTCAGCTCCACGATCGAGACCCAAAATAAATTAAAATTGCAACTCGATCAACAAGTTTTGATACCGAAATTTGCCAACATTAAAAATAAACGTCTCACACTAATAACTAACACTGGTAGCCTAACCCTCTTAAATAAGGATGATAATAACGATGCATCATGTCCATATTTTTCCTATTCTCAAACTACTTATTGCATTGATCTAAGAAGTTGTAAGTGGAACACATTTTTATTATCTTAGATTAGATATACATGATCCAATTTTCTTTATGTAAAACTAGTTGTACTAGTGTATGATTTGCAACTAAGGGATCCATGTCAGAATTGTATATTGGACTGAACACGTATAGAAATTAAAATTCCTGGATGTTGAATTAGTGTGCTCCATAATTATTTCTTGAAATTAAATAGTGTAATTTTTTTAGAAAGTCTTAGGCTTTACCTTTGGTGAAGACCATAGCTAAAGAATTTTGCCCATCTTTGACTAGCATCCACTTCTGCATAGAGATTTATTTATTTTTTTTTAAAATTTGGTTAAAGGTGTTGCCTTTTTTAAAAAAAAAAAAAATTATTATGAGAGACGCATATCCTTTTAATTTTTGTTCTTTGCTTTCTTCAATTATGGATGTTCTACTACAAATTTCTTAGGTGAGCTCTTTTAAAAATAGTATAGGTCTCTTTTTCTTTTTCTTCTTACTTTTTTCGTTTATATTCTTGTGAATTTCATATTATGAGTTGGTTCTTTGAGATCCTTTTTGAAGTTGCATATTTTTTTTATAAAAAATAGTCCTTTCTAAAGTTGCTGATGGCTAGAGTTAATAGTATCTCCCATTATTTCAAGGTTGTTGCTTGTTCAAGTAGAAGAAAGATGAAAAAATAAGTGCACCTTTTCTTCTTGTAGAGGTCATATTCAACATCTTGATTTGTTTACCTGCTGAGGTTCTATGCAATGTGCTATACTGTGATCATTCCCTGTTCCATTAAAGTGCACACCTTCAAAAATTAGTTGATGGCCTCTTAATTGGAAGTTGCAACATTTCAAAATCGGTCTGTTTTGTGGAGATACGCAATTATGATATTCAGATAAGATAGTTAAGATAAGGGTTTCCTCTGCATGTTTTTTGGTAGTTGTGATGGTTTAGTTTTCTCTCACTGCAATGATAAGCGTATCTACTATGTTACGAATCCTATTACAAAGCAACTAGTGGCCTCCTCACCATTTTCTAATACATAGTGGATAAGTTCTCCTCGTATAACATATGTTCGCTCTACAAGGAGATACAAAGTGATGCTTATCATCCTCGATGAAAATAGTGATGATGTCTGTTTAATTAACTATGGTTACTGATATTGCCTGGAGATGTATTGATACTACACAATTGCCAAACTTTGATCATTGTTTGTTACCATCTGAGTCATTTTCTACCGGAAGGTATATTTATTTGACTTGTGATGGTGCTGCTCAAATTTTTGCTTTGCATGCTGAAGCTTTAATATTTCACCAATTTCTTGTTCCAAGGGTCTACCACAAGGCACTAAGTGGTAGCTATATAGAGTGGAAAATCTTTCTAGCTTTGGGGGCTCATTGTGCTGGATTTGTTTGGGAAGTTTGGGCCTTGACGGAATTGAATCAGGAGAGTGGACCAGGATTTTTAGCATTGACTTTAGAGGTCAAAGATATATGATTGAGCAAATATTTGATGTCCTGAATGGTGAATGGTCTCTAAATAATTATTTGTCAAAAAAAAAAAAAAACTTCTCTAGATCGTTGTTTGGTTCCTATTGTTTGGTTTAAAAATGGAGAGTTGGTGATCTTCCGTGGTGTAGATCCATTAAAATTTACCTTGTTTACAACCTGAAGACAGGTGAAGTTTCTTCATTTGTGGTAAGAAATTGTGAGAGACATAGATACGGATGCCATGCCAACAGCTTGGTTTCCTTGGAAGTCTCTTAGTTCCTGTCTTTTACCTAGATTCAAATTTGTTTTTCTATTTTTAATTTTATTTTTTTAACCAAAGGTGACGAGTACTGGTGTCCTGAGGAGAATTTTATATGTCATGACTTATTTTTTTCCCGAGTAGTTATCTCTCATTAGAGACAATAGCTCTATTTTTCATAAATTCTAGCAAGATTTGGTTTTATAATGGAATCATTTGTTTTTGGATTACTTCATCGATTCATAAGTTTTGTTATCCTAATTTTCATTTTAGAGCATAAATACACCGACCTTGTTCAATTGACTTGGGTTAACTTTACAAAATAGACAGTCTTGACTTTTTGAATAGTTATTATACTGACTAAACATATGTTTCTTTTTCATTACTATTGCTACTATAACTAATTGGACATGTTCTTACTAGCCTTTATTTAAAAGAACCTGTATCAATCAGGATGAGTTTAAAAGAGGTTTTGTTACAATGTTGCGTAAATTGTAAAATTTTTGGTTTTTGCAAACTAACTTTTCAATTAAATGCCCAACTGAAGGGTTGGGGATTCTTGGGATGTAGTTACATAGACTGTCATTTTTAAGGTTATTCTTTTGGTGGGTGGATCCTGGAATTGATACAGGGGAAAAAAACATTTATCCCTAAAACTCAAGCAATGATACAACAGCTTGGTTGAGGTATGGAACGTACAGCCGGTGAAGTGTCCGGTCACCATATGTGGCGACATCCATGGCCAGCTAGTACCATGACCAACTTGAGCTGTTTCGAATCAGTGGTGCTGCTCCCAACACCAATTACCTCTTCATAGTAGATTACGTAGGTCAGTTGAATTACTTGATATATATATATATATATATATATATATATATATATATATATATATTCTGTAATGTTAATTGAGGTTTGATTTTCTTCACATTGTGTTTTTTGTGGTGGATGTGATGTAATGTTAATGTTAGCTTTGCTTGAGAAGAGGAAATGTCATTATGATTACAACTCAACCATTTTTGGTTTAGTTAAGGGCTTTCACTAAGTTAATTGTGATCTTATGTTCCTTTCTGTTCCTATCAATACATCTCAAATTTGAGGATTATTTGCATCTTTTTATTCATTAAAAAATTAATTGGAGTGTAAAAATGCTTTGGAGAAATTTGAATATCATTTTCTTAAAAAAATGAAAGCAAGAAGGAAAGTGCAATGGCATCTCTCCTGAGTTGGATTGCACTTGTTTTATTTTTTTTCTTGTAGAGGGGATAATACAATTCTCTCTTAAAAGCACTTCCACAGCTCATAACTCAAGTACTTTTTACACCTCACACATCAATTACTCTTACATACCCCAACTCAAAGCACCTCACAGCTTAAATTCTCTTATCACCCTTGAAGATAATTGTGTTATTAAATTTTATGTGGGATTTAAGAATATTTTAAGGAGTTTTATTGTTTCTTGGGAAAAATGCTAGACATTCTGACTTTGTAATCCAGGTTAATTAGCGAGCTAGTGTTAAAAAACTTGCTATGCAGTTTCTTTTATTTGCGCATTCTACATGTGATCCCACTTTACCATACCAAAGTAAAAGTTTAAGAATGGTGTTATTCATTGTCCGCAATATGAATAGATCCTTGTGAAAGCACTTTGGTAATATTACTACAGTTGAGTTTACATAATTTGAGTCACTTAGATGCTCTGGAAGTTGACACTGTCTTCGCCTTTAAACATTATGACCTGTGAATAACTAACTTCGCTAGCCTATCCCTCTTAAATAAGGATGATAAGAACAATCCACCATGTCCATATTTGACCAATTCCCAACCTATTTATTGCATTTGTTAACAACCATATACTCCAAAAGCTCAAGCTATTAGAGAGGGTGAAACTTTAATATTTATATCTTTCAACTCGCCACCCTCACGTGTGGCTTTCTCTTTGGTCCAACACATGTTTTTTTTAATTTTATTAGGGTGATGGTGATGTTTAAACTCGAGGCCTTTGGTTCTGATACCATGTTAACAACCATATACTCCAAAAGCTTAAGCTATTAGAGAGATGCTACTTTAATAATTATATCCTTCTACAACATTAATTTCCGGGGAAAAAACTAAATGCATTGTTCTAAGAAGTTGTAAATAGAATGTATTTTTACTATCTTCGATATTCAGGATTCACTTTTTTTTTTTTCCTAATTGGTACTCACACACACATGCCTCCACTGAGGCTTGAACCTCTGACCTCCCTTTGGGAAGTAGAAGCTTGGTACCGCTAGGCCACTTGCCTGTTGGTATTTAGGATTCACTATATGATTTTCAATTGAAGCATCCAAGTCAGAGTTGTATATTGGATTGAACACGTATAGAAATTAAATTACCTGAATGTTGAATTAGTATGCTCAATACTTGTTTCTTGAAATGGAATAGTGTAAATTTTTTTTAAAGACTTAGGCTTCGCCTTTGGTGAAGACCATAGCTAAAGAATTTTATCCTTTTTTGGCTTCCATACAATTGTGTGCATAGATTTATTTTGTTGATTTTGGTTGAAGAAGATTTTTTTATTAGAATGGCATATCCTTTTAAATCTATGTTCTTTGCTTTCTTCAAGTATAGATGTTCTACTACAAATGTCTTATGTGTGCTGTTTTTAAAATAGTACAGTTCTCCCTGGTTGGTTTATTTATTTATTTTTTTAGATTCTATATTTTTGTGAATTTCGTATTATGAATTTGTTCTTTTAGATCCTATCTAAATATGCATTTTTTTTTTGGGGTAAAAAAATTCCTTTCTAAAGTTGCAGATGGCTGGAGTTAATCATATCTCTAATAATTTCAAGGTGGTTGTTTGTTCAAGTGGAAGAAAGTTGAAAAACAGCGCATCTTTTCTTCCTGAAGAGATCATATTCAACATCCTGCTTTGGTTACCTGCTGAGGTTCTATACAATGTGATGAGGTATGTTTGCCGAGAGTGGTATAATGTGATCAATGACCCTGGTTTCATTAATGCACATCTTCAAAAATCAACTGATGGCCTCTTAATCCATAGTTCCAACTTTGTAGATTCAGTTTGTTTTGTGGAGATAAATAATTGTGATATTCAGATAAGACAGTTAAGATACGGGTTTCCTCTGCACGTTTTTGGTAGTTGTGATGGTTTAGTTTTGTCTAACTGCCGTGATAAGCGTATCTTGTATGTTGGGAATCCTATTACGAAGCAAGTAGTGACCCTCCCGCCTTTATTTAAGACAAATCGTATATGTTCTCCTCGTTTAACATATGTTCGCTCTATTGGGAGATACAAAGTGATGCTTATTAGCCCTGATGAAAATAAGCACGATGTCTGTTTAATATCAACTGTGGGTACTGATAATGCTTGGAGATTGATTGAGACTAAACATTTGCCAAACTTTGATCACTATGCGTTATATTCTAAGTCATCATTTTCTACTGGAGGGTACTTTTATTTTACTTGTGATGGTGCTTCTCATATTTTTGCTTTGGATGCTGAAGCTGAAATTTTTCATCAATTTCTTGTTCCAAATGTCTACCACAAGGCAATAAGATGCACTTATATAGTGTGGAAAAGCTTTCTAGCTTTAGTAGCTTATTGTGCTGGATTTGTTTGGGAGCTTTGGGCCTTGACGGAATTGAATACAGGAGGGTGGACCAGGATTTTTAGCATTGACTTGAGAGGTCAAAGATGCATGATTGAGCAAATATTTGACGTCCCGAATGGTGAATGGTCTCTGGATCGTTGTTTGGTTCCTATTGCCTCGTTAAAAAATGGGGAGTTGGTGATCTTCCGTGGTGTAGATCTATTTAAGACATACCTTGTTTACAACCTCAAGACAGGAGAAGTTTCTTCTTTTGTGGTAGAAAATTGTGACAGATATAACACATATAGATGCCATGTCAACAGCTTGGTTTCATTGGATTTCTCTTAGTTCCGGTCTTTTGCCTAGGTTTGGAAAGCAGATTAATTGATCTCCACAGAAATGCAAGGGTCCTATATATTGTCCTTCCTTCTTCATGGTTAGGGATTCAGTTTTGTTTTATTTTCATTTATTTATTTTTTTGAACATTTGTTACCCAAATGTGATGGGTACTGGTATCTTGAGGAGAAATCTATAGTTACCCTGCTTATTTGTGGGTCCTCTTATATATGTCATGACTCTTTTTTTTCCAAGAGCTATTATCTCTCATCGGAAACAATTTCTCTACTTCCATAAATTCTAAAAAGATTCAGTTTTATAATGGATTCATTTGTTTCTGGAATACGTCATTGATTGGTAAGTTTTATTATGCTAGTTTTCATTTTAGAGCATAAATACACTGACCTTGTTCAATTGACCTAGGTTAACAATACAAAATAGACTTAACTTTTGAATGGTTATTCTACCCTCTGACCACTAGTTTCACAATGTATTTTCAACATGTATTGGTTTCTTTCTCTTTACTATTGCTACTAATTTGGACATGTCCATAATAACCTTTGTTTAAAAGAGACCTGTATCTATCAGGTTTTGTCGGAAAGCTACTCAATGGAGATTATTTCACCTAATGTGATATTTATCTGCCCAAACAATGGAGATTATTTCACCCGCGTTGGGTTGGTGTGGTGCCGAGGATATTCTGACGGTTGTAAGGTATTGAATTCGATGAATCGCAATAACTTTTACGTACACTTTTACATACCTCGTGATTTGCATAAGTTAAAGATAAGATGATTTTTGGAGGATTGCGTTCATCCCCACTAACCACACGTTGTATAGGGTGATCATCTATCTGACTATCTCCCAACAAGCTGGTGAGGTTGTTGAACTTATTGATAACCTGAAATTTAGGGTTTCAAAATGTTATTCGTTAGTCAACGTAGCGTGTCAATGCAAAATTATTTTTTGGAAAATGATATTTATGTCGATCGGTTTGGCTGATTTCCTATCAGTGGCGTCTAGCTGGCAAAAATAATGCGCGTGTAGTCAAACACCCTTCATCTTCTTCACAATTTCAGTCACCAAACGAAGACACAGGCGACGACAACTGGCGACAGCAGCAGAGGGGTCGTCGATGGGATAAACAGGACTATTAGTTCATGCAGACTTCTCGGCGACCGGAAATTGAAGGTCTTTGGTGAAAAAAAATTGGCAATCGACTCTGTTCCTCTTGGAGCAAACAACTCTGTTACGAGAGAGATTGTTGAGGCGATCCGAATGACAACAAAGACGAAAAATATGGAGAACTGAGGCCACTAAACAGCGAAGCCCCAAACAAAAAACAACCAACAACACGTGATGGCTCCGTCGGTGGCAAACAGCGATAACGCGATCTCTGCAATTTTTCTTTTTTTTGAATCGCAACCCAAGCTCGCCGACGCACGGCGATCTGAAATATCAAGATCGGAAAAGAAAAAAAATCTTATGGCAGTTTAACACAGCAAAATCTCTGCTCCTCTTCAAGCAAATCAAGCCCACAAGTTAGTCCAGCAAAATCCCTTTTCTTTTCCTGTTTTTTAGTTGTTTGGCAGCTTTACCCGCTTCATCGAAGAAACAAAAAAGAAAAGTTGCTTACGTGGACTACTACGTCTATTCTGCCAAACCAATAGGCAATTGGGGATTAGTTTTGATCGTTAAGCAACCCAAACTTAATTAAATGACCATACAGCCCGCCTAAAAGGTCAAAAGACCATAGTGTCCTTCTATTACCATTAGACACAACCCCAGCCAAACATTCCCATCATCTAATTCTATCTTCCCAAAATCCATCATTTAAATGATGAAATGTTAAAAATAGGCGACATATTAAAACTCTGTTTTTCAACCAAAAAAAAAAAAAACTTTTGGTGAAATTTGAATTTCTAAAATAGAAGTATGCAATTTAAACTAATTTTTTTAAAATTTAATTTCAAAACACATAATCCGCAACTTAATAAGGAGTATGTGTTTTGAAACTAAATTTTTAAAAATTTAATTTCAAAACACAGAATCCATTTGTTCCAATTCAGCATTATAAATTTAAATTTGGTGGAATTTGAATTCCTAAAATAGGAGTACGTAATTTGAACTAAATTTCTTAAACTTTAATTTCAAAACACAAATGTGGTGGGATTTTCCACTCACTATGTGCTCTTGTACTACCTCTCATACACACATAAATGCAAGACAAAATATGGTGCCTATACTTGTCACCATCCTAAGTAATCATCCAAGGCTTGATATTAAGTCTACACTTGTCACTAATCCATGGCTCCTTCCTAGGCTTAATCCTAAGCCTACACTTGTCAACCGTCCAAGCCAACAAGTGCTATATATATATATATATATATGTTTTTAAATTTGAACATGTATCCAATACTTGATGTTTTGAACATGTATCTTATACTTCTTAGATCTTTGCAACCTATTGCAATGGTTGTGTCTAATAATAAAGAGATACACCCAATCGGAAAGGCATTTTTATTTCTATAAATACCCCCATTTGGATTATTTGCAAGTGGCATCAATCAGGTACGAGTCTAAATTATCTCTTTAATTAATTGTAGTATTCCTGATTTCTACAAGTAAATTATTTTATCAAAACCCAACAATGGGTATCAGAGCAAGGTTAGAGTTAGGGTTTACGTTGTAGAAATTAAGAAGGAATATGTATCCATTATTTCCAACTCGGCATTATAAATTTAAATTGGAATTATATTTCATATGATTTGAATCCCAAATATACTGTCTCAAATTTGTGTAATCTGATGAGGTTTTTTTTTTTTTTTTTAATCAATTTATTAGTTTGTAAATTTTTTAATTTGCCTTTTCTCGTGGAAGATAAGATTTCAATTCTATTGAGAAAAGATAAAACGGTAAATGAAATATTTTCTTTATAATTAAATTCTAAATTATTCTAAGGGCAAATTATACAAAACCTCCCTCTACTTCCAATTTTTGGCACAAACAGTAGAATCCCTTGAATTATCAATTCAATTGTTTCAAAAATGATGTTATAATCATGAATGTCACTTAAAATAAGTTTTAAAAAATGGTGCCCTCTTAATATAAGATTAAAATTAATAAACATAACTCATTTGGCATAATTTATTTTTTTGGAAGTTAACTCATTTGGCATAATGTTGTTAAGTCTTATTTCTAGGGAGAAAAAAAAATTAATGGTGCATCTATTAAAAAAAAAGGTTAATTTTACTCACACCTCCTCAGGTTTGGCCAATTTTCACCTCCCAAACATCTTTCGAAAATAACTATTACTTAGGTCAATTTCTATTTTTCTGTTAAAGGCTCCGTTAAATACATGAGAAAAGATAATTTTGCCCATAATTTTTTAATCCCATTTAGTCCAAAATATCATATTGCTTAAATGACCATTATACCCCTACACTCACCAACCACCACCACCACCACCACAACATCCATCACCCTCACCGTGACCACCATGGCCGCCGCCACCACCAGTCCTCTCATCTCTCTCCAACCTTGTGCCACCACCCACAATCGGCACCTCCACCACCACCACCCACAATCGATACCTCCACCACTGCTCACAACACCATACAAAACAACCATCTCCACCCCTTCACCGCAGTAACTCACCTCTCATAATCACCGGAACCCTAAATCGTCAACATCACCACAACCACGAAATCCCAAAATCATAAAGAGGCAAAAGCACGAAATCCCAAAATCTAAGAACGAATCATAACCAAATCGAAATTTGTAGACAAAACTAAGAACGAATGCATGAATAAGCATACCCCCGAAAAATCGACCGAATCTTTCGTGGCAAATCCATATCAGATTCTATAAAACCTGTTGCTCTTTTCAAGATTTTCTTTATTTAAAAGTTCGCTATTCCAAGCTTTGAAAAGGTTGGCTCTGCCTTCAAAAGTAGCGCCTCCACCTCTAATAGCCCAAAACTGATCTTCACCCATTGATTCTCTGTTCAAAACTCTGCCATTCACGTCAACAACAATTGCGTCAACGACATTATCAATCGAGAGTCCATACTTTCTCATCAGATTCCCATGCCCAACACCCACTGTTTGACAAACACCAGATGGGAAGCCATGAACTCTGCTCTTCTCAGTAATTTTATAGAAAAGTTCACCTAGTGTAGCTCCTGAACTAATCCACACAACCTCATTTGCTATGTCGATTTTGCACGTGAGTAAAATAGCCACCTGCTTACCTCACCCCAAAAAATAAATTGAAAAAGAAAAATTGTTTGAGAAGAATACGATGAAGGCGGTTTAGTAGTGATGACCGCTGGATGGCGGCCCTTCTCTGATCCTCCCGTGCCTGCCGGAACTCTTTTTGTAATTAATGTTCACTGGGTTTTCTAAGAGAAGATGTTCCGCGATCAATTGAAGAGAGGCCCTTAATCGAATTTCTTTTGAATCCTGATTGCGGAGTCTTTGGCCAGTAAAATCGTTAGGTAATTGCATCCTTTCCAGCATAGACAATAAATCGTTGGGTAATTCATCCTCTAAAGCTTATAGGGTTGAGAGTTCATGGCAATGGATCTGATCGCCTATGTTAGGATGATAGTTCGGTGCGTCATAAAAAACAATCGTTTCGGAGAGAGACTGATTTACTCTTGAGATAGAGCTTCCTCCACCATCTGCTACAAGATTTTTTTTTTTTTTTTTCAGAGATCTACTACAACATCAAGATCCTTTTTTTGTTTTGGTATATTAGAAGTTTGGGGATAAATTTGCTCTAGTTGAATCATACATTGGTTCGGAATATATCCGAGTTCCGAACCTGATAAGCTCATTGCCTAATCTTCGTTTTCAAGTTCATTATATTGAAATTTGAACAATGTCACTTTATTAAAAACTATGCTTAAACCTATGTTTTCTGATCCGGCAAAGATTTTCACTGAAATTTCTATATTATAATGGAATTTTCTCCTTTACAGGGAGGAGCTGCTAACCAAAGTGTAATATATTCAAACTACCATCACTTATGTATAGAAGGCTTCAATGGTTCAAATTAAGTTGTGCATAAAATGTTGTAGGCAACCAGTTTGAATCATCAATTGTTTACTAAGTTTCCATCTTTCTGCTTCCTATGACAAAAACAACCAAACAGATTGGTTTGAGCTTGCTGAACTAAAAGCCAATTGTCAGGATAGATTCTGACCTCCTATTATGGTGTCAAGTTGGAAATCAAAGCTTCACCAAATAAATAATATAACAAAGACTCTTTTGGAGAACAGAATATCCAAATGGCTCAAATATTTAGCCACCAACTCTTGCATTACAAAATCTCAATTATATTAAAAGCGACTCAAAAGATTAAAAAAAGTAACTTAAAAAAAAATACATTTGCCACCACAATGTAGTACAGAAGAAAACAAAAGGGATAAAAAGGAGAGGAAAAACAACTTGTGGGGTATCAATTTCTCCAAATTTTTGTATCAAAATGGATGTCCTTGGAAGCACTTCAAAAAATATATCCAAAAGCATGAAATTGTGAAGGTATGAGAACCTGCAAAAGCATTGACAACAAAGTAGTTTTAATAAGTTAAAATGCATTTGATAAGTACCTACTTTTTATTCATAACTAAAGCTTTTCATAAAATTATACCTTTAAAACTAAACCATTGGGTCCATATTAACTTCTCCAGTAAAAGAGCAACCATAAGTTGAGCTATTGAACCCAAATCTTTCTCCATTCTGTAAAGCACAATGGATGGTGTATAATTTTTTTTTAAAAAAAAAAAAAAAAAAATGCATGAATAAGCATACATGTAATTAACAGGTACATTAAAAAAACCTGTAGAAGTTGCCCAAAGCTAAGATTCTGCAAAGGTGAATTGCTCATATGCATGTAATGGGCTGGATGTATCTAGTACATTGAAAAATAAAAAATAAAAATCATCCACACTAAAATGTACAATGTTGAAAGGTCATTAAAGGGTGATACAAGTTCAATTACCTCAAATGACTGCTCTGAAAGGTTGGAGAAATCATTAACATTTCATTCCAATGATGAGATGGATTAATCTATTTAATAAAAAAAGGTAAATCTTAATAAATAAAATACAAACTTTCATTTCCTCGATTTAGATGTATACATGTATAAAATCTAAAATTATTAGGATATGAGCAATTCAATTACAGCGTGAATTTCTTGGGTTGCCATCTTATCAAGAAATTTTGAAGCGGTAGGACTTATGGTTGGTGGAACAACATCATTTACAACACTTGGAATGCTTTGTAGAGCCTGCAAGTGAAATATTTGTGGATTGCACATTAATTTACGTGACAATAACTTTTTAATAATCTTATACTACCTTTCTCCTTTTTTGCACTTGCAAATCATTTTGATCAAGTTGCCCTTTTTGTTTTCCTTTAAGGGCCTGTAAACAAATTATACAAATAGAAACTAAATATTGATTAATGAAAAAACAACAAAATTAATGAAGGTGGTATATTACAAAAAAATAATAAGTACATACCTTTTTTCCCTTTTTAACCGTTTTTTCAATGACAGATTGTATCCTCTTTGAAGGAGGACGACCTTTAGTTTTTGCTTTTATAGGAGTAAGTACTTTCTTCTGAGAACCTGATAGTTCATGAATCATACTACTACACTCATTTGCAGGTTGACATATAACACTTTCTTGACTATTGAAGCAACCTGAGTCAAAGCTAAGGAGCTTTTTCTTTGTCTCCTTTAATTGCTTCAATAAAAACTCACATTTCTCATCTGACTCTACTCCAAGCTCTTGCAATTCATATAACAGTGGCCTTAAAATATTATTTCGCTGCCTTTGTTCACTATTACTGAAATCATCATAATTTTTTTTGACAAAAGTATATCCACGCTTGATGTCCTTTCGCCAACGCTCTAGTATGTAATGAGATGGAACCTCGTATACCTTTTCTTGCATTATCACAGAGATCGCATGCCTACATAGAATCCCTCGAAACTCAAACAAATGGCATAAGCATCGTACTTCACATTCAATTGCGTTGTAGAAAACCTCATAAGTTACCTCTTTCCAAAAAACACCACCTGTTCCAAATTTTTGTTCTCTGACTTCAAATGTAGAAGTATACTTTTCTCTCTTAATAAGAGATGTATTGCAATAAACCAATCCCTTCAATTCATCCTGAACAAGTTTGAAAATAGCATGGGTGTAAACATCTTGGAATTATTTCTCAATGTAGAACTCAGTTATCATTGGAATGGCAGAACTGAAAGAAGCAAAATCTGCTTTATTTTCTTTTTCAACCTTGCTCTTTAAGGCATTATCATATTGTTCAACAAATTGCTTCAAGGATGTCTTTGAGTGAACATACCCATCAAAGAAAGCATTCATGCTTTCACTTCATTGGGTAGTTGACATTCCAGCCCAAAAGGTGCATCTCACATATACTAGAACCCAACGATGACGATCTTTATATAATGACTTCAACCATTCATTATTTTGAAGCTTGTATTCTTCAATCAATTTCATCCAACTCCTTTCAAACTCATCACAATTCATCGATTCATACACAATACTTTTTAAGATGCTCTTCATTTCTTTATATTGGGCAAGTCCACCAAAGGGCGAAGCCACCTGTGGGCTAACCTGGGCTGTAGCCCAGGTCCAAAAAAAAAAAAAAAATTTACTAGTACTATTACCTAGCAGCTATAGCCCAGCCCAACTTTCCTAATCCATGATAAATGGCCCAGCCCACTAGGCACTAGCCCAACAATTCAACAAACAGAAGCTTATATATCAACCTAAGTAACTATTCAGCGCATACACGAATGTATACAGAATACACGAACTGTGAACTGAAACAAATCATACAACTATATACAAGGGTTTGAATACTGAAACCCTAAATCCCATGAATCACCCACTTGAGCTTCGGAATTGGACCAGAGGATTGAAGACTTGAAGAGTCAGATTGAAATGGAAAAATCCGAAAATCATCTTGTAAGTGCTCAAATTTAGATTGTAGATACATCTATATATTTTATATATATATGAATTTGTTATTTGTATATGAAATTGACAAATTGTGCATATTAAATCTATCTTTCAAATATAAAAATAGATATATATTAATATATATATAGATTTGCATACTTTAATCTAGGGTTTCAGTTACTTTAAATTTGGGATTTTTTTATTTTTTGGCAGAATTGAAACTTAGGCTTTTATACATGAGATAGTTTGGAAATTGGAATTGGGTCTCGACTCTCGTGTGCTATGTTGTGTGTAGATTGTGTAGTTATAATAAAATAATGTTCTAACCACTCAAATACTTTCATATATATATATATATATATATAGATGAAAGCAAAATAATAGAGAGAGAAATTCAGATTCTATGCAATGAAAGTTTGAAACCAAAAACCCTAAGCCAAATTGATGATGATTAATTGAGATTAATAATTTAATACACAAACCCATAGACCAAGAGGTCCACCGAAATTAACACAGGAAAAAATAATAATAAATTTTTTTTTTTTTGTTACAATTCCAATTTCAAAGCCTTGTTTGGTGCACCCAAACACAACATAGATGATTATAGAAGATCACAAAGCCATAAGGTGAATGTTTATTAATGGTGGTATTAAACAGAAACACAGCCCAACAATGAAAAACAATGAGTTCTGTGAATAGAGACAAATTATGAGAAAATAATATAAAAGTATGATAGATTTGCATACATTTGTTTGTTTTGTATGTGTGTGAGTTAGAGTGAGTTGAAATAAAATTTCAATACAAGTTTCTCATTTCTTTGACAATATACAGACCTCAATAATTTTTTTTTTTTTTTTTTTCTTTTTCCTGCTCCAGCTCTATAGGTAATTTTTTTTATCTTTAGCCTGCCCCACTTTGGAATCCTAGCTCCGCCCCTAAGTCCACCCAACTTCATTGGAATCTTTTGCATTATATGCCAAAGGCACAATCGATGAGAAGATTTTGGAAACACCTTTGCAACAGCTGCTTGAATAGCTTTGCACTGATGGTGATAATAGCTTTTGGAGCACGACTTGACATACATGTCAACTAAGACTCAAACAACCAAATATAAGTATCAGCATCCTCATTAGATAGCAAGCCACAACCAAATAAAATAGATTGCCCATGATGATTCACCCAAATAAAAGGAGCAAAAGGCATGTCATATTTATTTGTCAAGTAAGTTGTATCAAAACTAATAACATCTCCAAAAGATTCATATATGGCTCGACATCTAGCATCAGCCCAAAAAACATTCCTTAAGCGCCCTTCCTCATCCGTATCAATCATGTAAAAGAAGTTTGGATTCCTATTTTGCATGTGACAAAAATAGTTAAGAAGGGCCTCCGCATCTCCAATGCCAAGTCTCGACTGTCTTGCTTTTGCAATGTAGTTCCTACACTCCCTCTCACCAAATGGTAAGTTCTCATACCCACCACCTTCAACAACAAGTGAATGGTAATTTTTAGTTAGAGTTATGCCTGCTAAATCATTCAACTCCAATTTTTTTTTTTTTTACATGAGAATCTAATACTTTGTTACATCTATAATGTTGAGCCTTTCCTGGACTTAATGCATGATTATGATCCAGATAGACACCACTAATGATGAACCTTCCGTCATCTTTAACTATAACATTGATTTTGGCCTTATAGTTTGTCTTACTTGAAGGCCTTGGATGAAAAGGGTCCTTTACCTTTGATATTGTGTTACCATTCCGTGAACAAACAAATAAAAAGTAACTTGACTTTCCATCACTTCTATTTTTTGCACTTTTCTTTGTTACACCAAAACCCTAATGCTTTGCATACTTCTTAAAATAATTACGAACCTCTTCCTCAGACTCAAAAGTCATCCCTATTTGGGAATTTCCACTTCATCATCAACTATTTGCTTTTCCAACTTTTGATCATTCACTTTATCATTATTAGGACTCTCCAAATTGCAAGGCATATATGCATCTTCTTCATATGGCATTGCCACATGAGAATTGTTCTCCATTTCTTATGAAAATCAAAGAAATAATTGATCACCTAAATAACTGCATACAATGCGAAAGAGCAATGCCCTGCACTAGCCATCAATAATATAATTCATTAACATGGTTTTGAAGCATTAACAATGTTTCACATAAATGTGACACAGTTTTTGAGAAATTAACTATAATAGTATCATTATATTGTTCAAAAAGAGGACCAAGATTAACATGTGTACCAACAAAAATAAATCACAAAAATTAGGCTTATGCCAAACACCTAATAATCTGAATTGAACTAGCAACATTCAAGTCCTTTTATATGCAAGTTTTGGTTTCCATTTCCTCTAACTTAGGGACATATTTTTAGTTTGGCGATGAATATTTCCCAAACCATACATTCATATAATTACAATACTGACAAAAAACAAAAAATAAAAAGGGACAAGAAAAGGACAAACATCCATTGGTCGTGTTAGATTCATATCGCCCATTGTTCTAAGTCAAGATTAAAAAAATAGTAATGTTTCCTCTTTTTTTCTTTTTTTAATCAGAGAATCTATTGAGTCTTATTGTGTTTTTTATTTTTCTCAACATTTGTTTAATTAAAACTTATCCTTCATAACCTAATCTCATTAAACAAATTTAATAAATCTATACATATCACACTACAAGTTGTACGTTCAAATGCTATTTTAACATAATATAACAATGCAATAATCATAAACAACCAAACAATCCCTAAATAATTTAGGAGAAATAAGATAATTCTTTAGGGTCAGAGTTTTGCTAGCAATTGTTGTAGATTGGATCTACAATCCTCTTTGTAAGCCAATAAATTACATTCAAAATAATTACTTTTGTTTGACAAAGTGTCTATGGTACGTAGTTTTAGTTCATTTGGACTGTTTCTTTCACCTGTTTCGTTCATAAAATTTAAGCGTAGGAGATTGTTACTCTTGCAAGAATTCTTCCAGCAAAGTGTAAGGTATAATAGTGATTTAATTTGATGTATCAGTGTAAAATTTAAACTATACTACATATATAACAAGATAAAGATAAGTCCATAAAGGATAAATATAAGTGGAACAATCCATGTTCTTCCCAACTCTTCTCTTGTTTTCTCATCAACATATTAAAAGAATACGAATAATAAGACTAAATCAAAATACAGAAAATATCTTCCCAACTCTTCTTTTGTTTTTTCATCGACATATTAAAATAATACGAATAATAAGACTAAATCAAAATACAAAAAATAGATTGGAAAAAATTGTAAATCATACCTTCAATCTTGTTTAGGGTCTGAATTACATGTAAGATTTGTAGAGTTTTTCTCTAAACATGAGCTCTTTATAATTTTGGGGACTCTTGAGTTTCCCGCGATATACAATCACCTTCCCTCCCTTCTTCTTTTTTATTTTTTATTTCTTTTATCTGCACGTGATGGATTCTTTTACTCCATTATGTAAGAGGGGTGAGAATCTAACATGGCTTTGCCACGAAAGATTCGGTCGTTTTTTCGGGGGATATCTTTCGGTTCCCCTATCATTGCTCTTTCTAAAATAGAAGTATGCAATTTAAACTAATTTTTTTAAAATTTAATTTCAAAACACAAAATCTGCAACTTAATAAGGAGTATGTAATTTGAACTAAATTTTTAAAAATTTAATTTCAAAACACAGAATCCATTCGTTCCAATTCAGCATTATAAATTTAAATTTGGTGGAATTTGAATTCCTAAAATAGGAGTACGTAATTTGAACTAAATTTCTTAAACTTTAATTTCAAAACACAGAATCCATTATTTCCAACTCGGCATTATAAATTTAAATTGGAATTATATTTCATATGATTTGAATCCCAAATACACTGTCTCAAATTTGTGTAATCTGATGAGTTTTTTTTTTTAATCAATTTTTTAATTTGCCTTTTCTCGTGGAAGATAAGATTTCAATTCTAATGAGAAAAGATAAAACGGTAAATGAAATATTTCCTTTATAATTAAATTCTAAATTATTCTAAGGGCAAATTATACAAAACCTCCCTCTACTTCCAATTTTTGGCACAAACAGTAGAATCCCTTGAATTATCAATTCAATTGTTTCAAAAATGATGTTATAATCATGAATGTCACTTAAAATAAGTTTTTAAAAATAGTGCCCTCTTAATATAAGATTAAAATTAATAAACATAACTCATTTGGCATAATGTTTTTTTTGGAAGTTAACTCATTTGGCATAATGTTGTTAAGTCTTATTTCTAGGGAGAAAAAAAAAATTAATGGTGCATCTATTAAAAAAAAGGGTTAATTTCACTCACACCTCCTCAGGTTTGGACAATTTTCACCTCCCAAACATCTTTCGAAAATAACTATTAC